GCTGTGTCTACTGATTGAGTTAAAGAAATTGATTACTAAAAATAAGATACAATTAAAATCAAGTGTTTTGTTGTAATATGCTTTTTTGGAAAGAAATGACTAATAGAACTTACATTTGTAAAAATAAAAAGCAGACATCATAGTATAATCCCAGGACAAATTAATGTATCAACACATCAGGGCATATGATAAAGCCTTATTTAGTCTCCAAAGAGAAAGCAGAATATGCTCTAAAAATACAAAAATAAAATTATCTACTTGAATTCTAACAATATAATCCAAAAACATAGGTGATGGCAGTTTTATTTATAAAAGGGTTCTAACAATGCTTTGTTTCAGAATTGCAAAAATACTTGGAAGAGGAAGGATTAGATTTTAAAGTCCTTTTAATAATAGTGTTCATTTAGCCATCTTTGATCTGTTTGCTATGAAAATACAAATGTTGAGATTGTATTTTTATCTCCATATACAACCTTATTACTTTAGCTCTTTGACCAAGACATTATTTAATATTTCAAGGCCACACACAGCTACCTGGTTTTGACGGCATTCAGACTGCAATTGGTTCAGGCCATAATCTTGACATTATGTAATTCTGGAAAAAATTAACTAATACAGATGCAATAACATTCATCAAAGCTACAATGGCTGAATTAAAACCAGAAATTCCTACTGGAAAAATGTAATGATTTTTAAAGAATTCCACAAGATTGATGGTCAAATTAAGGAAATCACTGATGAAACAAAAGTTGGCTGAGAAAGATTTGTTAATATATTCCATGAAGTGGAACCAGAAACTGAAGGCCACCAGGAAATGCTGACAAAAGAGGAATTGGAAGAAATTGTTAAATCATCTATTTACAAAGATTAAGAAACTGAAACAGAACCAAGAATGTGGACATTACAGAAATTTGCTGAGGTCCTTAGAATGATTCAAGAGGCAAAGGAAAATGTTAGTGAGTACAATCCTTAGAAGGAACACAACATTAAAGTAATTCATATCATAACCAAAGCATTAGAATATCTTAGCGGTGCTATTGAGGAATGAAAAAGAAACAAACAAAATTTCCAATGACAATGTTTTCTCAAAACATTTTTCTAAGGATCTCCAGCCATCTGCATTTTTTAAATTTTTAATTAGCTGTCACCAAATAAAGTGTAATGATTAATTTATTGCCAATTAAAATAAACAATAACAGTCTAATTCTACATTATAATTAAAGTTTTTTGTTTGTTTGTTTTTTCTTTTTACAATGATTTTAGGCTTTTTAATTTGTAACAAAAACAAGTTAAGATTTTTTTTTTTTTTTTTTTTAAAATAGGATTAAATGTTTGGGCATGCTTAGTATATATAGTTTACTGAAATCCAAGGATCTCAACATCCACAAGAGTGGAAGGGTCATGGAGTCTATCACCTGAGGATTATGAAGTTCTACTATAATTACTTTATCACCAATATATCAGATATTGTGTGTAGAAGTGAATTCCATTTTTATGCCACAGATATTCTCTTTTTCAAGGATGTTAAAGCATTTTTCTTACTTCAAAAATTTATCCTGTTCAGAAAAAATAAATATTCTCTTGCTTTCTCTTTTTTGGGCTTTCCTTTCTCTTGGTTGTTTTCTTTTTTTTAATTTTATTTCTTCAACCTTCTTTATTCTTCCTGTCCTACTTTCCTTGTAGTTTTATTTTTTCTTTGCCTTTTCTTTAATGTTAAAGGCATGCAATCTCACACCTACACACACACACACACACACACACACACGACAAGAATGTCATTCTCCTCAAAATATAAAGGAAAAGTTTTTTTTTTCTTTATATCTAAATATAAACACACATAAGGCTTAAAAAAGATTTTAAAGAAAGAAAAGATAAAAGCCATATAAAAATGTCAAAAATAAGTAAGCCTTCCAATATTTACAAATACCAAGAAATATTACTGTTTTATTTTTTCAAAGCCAATCAAAATACAGTTTTCATGTTTATATTTCCATGTTCATCACCTCTGATTTCAAATTTGTCTAATCTCTATTTTTGCTACTATCTACCTGCAACAGACATTATTGATGTGTCAGTTGCACATTTTCTTGTTACAAACCCACATCAATCACACCACATCAGGATTACTGCTATCTACTGTTTTGTTTCTTGAAAGGTCATTATCTATCCAACTATCTATACTGATTGTGTTTGTTTTTCAGTTTCTTGTTTTTTTAATTTTATTTAGAACAATTCATGATAGCTTAATTTAGAAGATAAACAAATATAGAATGGCATGAAATAATGGATAAAATGTTTCTTTTGAATTTGTTAGATTAACAGTGTAGTGTAAAATTTGCTCTTATATTTATTTTCTTTCAATGAAGGTGATAAGACATTTCATTTTAATCTTAAGTTTATAATTCAGTTTCACTGAAAGCAAATTTCAGTTTTTTTCAATCTTCCAAAACATTGATTTGTGAACATTGGTCCAATAAAAGTTATAAATCAATATTCAAAATTTCATATAGCCGTTTTTAATGTTCATTGTGACTACATACACATATATTTCATTAAAACAGATTTTAACAATCATTCAAATATTTAAAATTCTATTTAAGTGCTAACAATATATCCCTTTTTTCCTTATATATATCTGTGATGAGGTAGGTTCATGAATAGAGGCTTGGCAGTAGTTTCATGGCATTTAACTGGAGAAAAATGTAAGCAAAGAATTTGCGTTTAATGATTATTGGAATTATGCAAAAAGAACTAATTAAGAAATTAATTAATTTTGAAAAATAGATGGATCTGAGGTGTTTTAAAGGAACTGAATGTAAATATTAACTTGGAAATAACTTAGGAACATAGTATAACTGGGTACAAGCTGAACTCACTTGTGAAATGATGACAAGTCATAAATTACTTCCGCATCTGAAATAAAAAAAATATCTCTGAAAAGCTTTGAGATTAAGTTGTTAACATAAAAACTTGTGCATCAGATTTGTGTGGTTTCTTAGACACAATAATTTAGGGGAAAGGAGATTTCCCCCAAAAAGAATTCAACCAAAGCTGATGGGCTGGGTCTTTTAGGAATAATTTTCAGAGAGTTGGTTATCAGAAACTTGGTCAAATGTAAGAATAGGCTTTTGAGTTGTAGAGGAAAGAAAACTCTTAAGAACATAAATTAATGGTCAAATTGTTCTAATGCACCAGTGGATTGGATCCCTATATAAACAAATTTGAATCAACTAATATGAAGAGAAGTGATAGAGATTTCTACTAAGGTCACCAGAAAGAAGAGGTACTCACAGTATATAACCATTTTAGAGACGTGTAAAGAAAAATCATAGTAGCTGTGAATGAACAAACTATCAGATCATCAAAGCAACCTTTGAAAAATGGGAAAACAAGCAAATGACTGCTGTTCTATCATTATTATAATTTTGAACAAGTGATTCAAAATTCATACCACTGTCAAGTATGAGAACTGAGAAAAGAAAGGATTTAGTTGAAATATCAATACAATCAACAACTGAAAATAAACTATATAATCCTAAGGTATTCTGGTCTCCATTGTTATTATTCAAAGTCTTTGATCAATGTTTGGAATCCATCAACTTTTTAGTGAAATATGGCTGGCTTGGGTTCACAACATTTTAGATCTGAGCTTGAGACTTCAGATTTTATCTAAACGAAACATGGCTGGCAGAGCCTCTTGTCAATTTCCAAACCAATGACCAGAACACGAGCCCATCCATTACCTATAGAATTATATTTGGTGTCATGATCAAGGATTCTGTCCTTGTTATTATCACAGAAAGACACAGCCTATAGTGTGGCGTTTGGTTGATATGATCTGGATGTTCCTAGACATAATGTTATACCTGTATGATTATTATGAAAAATTAAAGAAAAAAATTTCAGGATTCTAAGCTGGCTCTTTTCAATGTCCTTTGAAGGAAGTATCTTTATTCTTAATTCTATGTATTAATATCTTGTGAATTGAACCTAAGAAATGCCTATATGTTCTACTACCAATTTATACAAAGCACAATATATTTTTAGAATAGATAAGAAAGTAAACAGAACAGATAAGAAAGGAATTCCTTTTGTAGCTATAATTTAAAATTCTTTAGCAAAACCCACTTACTTTTTAGAAATTATGTGTACTACATTTTCTATATATATCAAACATTTTATATAACAAATAAGTTTTTATAAATTTGACTAATAAACACTAATGTATTATGTTTCTTTCAGTACAAATAAGCTAGAGCTTTCAATTTGAAACTGGAAAATCTTACAAAACAAGTCAGTTGCATATATTAAGCATTATGTTCATCAAAAGCTTTATGCAACACAAAATTCTAGAATATAAGCATGCATTCAAATATATTAATGTTGCTGTAAAGGAAACTTTCCAGCGTATCAAAAAAGCAATTTTGAAAGGCCAAGCAGCTCAACTTTGTAGCAGTAACGAAAAGGATAACTTTGTTTGCTGCACACAAAAATGATTAAAGAGAAAGCTCCTTTGAATGTCTTATCCTTGTGCTTGCTTCTTTAAAGGCTTTTGTCAGAAGTCAGAAGTATAGGCAGGAAAAGAGCGAGTATGATTTACTTAATTTTGGAAAATCTTTTGAGGATTGTTTATTGTTCTAAAACACAGGAATTCCTAAGCTTAAACACTCACTAATGATCGGTACTTAGTTGTAAATATTTGTCATTCACAAAAATAAAACAATAACTATATGCTTACTCATACACATATTACTGTATATAAGAGTTGTTTATAATTTTTTCTTTATCCCTTTCTTTTTTTCTTTCTTTCTTTTTTTTTTTTTTTTTTTTTTAAGTAAGAATATTTTTAAAAAGCAAAATAAACAAAAGAAAAGCTTGACATTTTTAACTTCTACCTCAATTTATGTCTTGTCATCTTTTCTTTTGCTTTAACTATTTTTTTAAATAACAAAGAATGTTTTGAGAGTTTTCTCTAATCATCTTTTTCATTTGGATTTCAGGCTACAGAGGAATGTGAAAGCTGCATCTGATGTAGATTATCCAGCCTATGGGGTGACTGGTCCTACCAAGGAACGGTTGCCATCTCCTGGTGATAGAAAACTGGCCCAGAGTGCACAAATGTACCACTACCAACATCAGAAGCAACAAATGATAGCACTCGAGAAGTAAGTTCAATTGATTTATCATTTTATCTGCTGTACTGAGACTTCACCTTCAATTGCTTCAGTAAATAATCTTGAGTAGAGCTTAGAACATCACTGTTGTTAGAAATCAACTTGTATTTTACATCTGAACATCATGGAATCCATACAACTGTTTATTTTGATGAATGCTGCTCATCGGTTTATCTTCATTAGAATTTTTATACAGAAGATTCTTTTTTAAATTGATGATTTGAATTAGGTAATGGATAGGATTATATTTAATATTGTTTGCATTTAAGGGTTAGATACAAATCAATATAATTCACCATGAAAAAAAAAAGTAAGCATGACAGTAAATTTGTATTTGGATTATTTATATTTTTCTGCTGGCAGGGTTATATTTTTCCGCAATATTTTAAGTATAAGAAAATTGATGGCTTACTATTAATATTCATAATGGAATTATCCAAGTCATTTCCTATCACTGATCCAATCATGAATAATTTTTATTGAATTTATACAAGTATGCTATATTAAAAAGAAAATCTGTGGATCTTGTGATTGCTCTAAGCTTACTACTCATTGCTGATTGATACTTACGCAAGTTTTATCAATGAATCTTCTTTTTTTTAAATTTCCAATAATTTGTGTCAGTAGCTGGCTTTAAGGCAACCATTTTCTACAATAATGACGAAAATAATTTTCTGACTGACCATATAGAAAAATCAAACATCTATTGTCGCTATATACTTCAATTTGCTCTATAAAGCTTTAAATGTTATATAGCAGAAGGTTATATAGAATTCTTTGCAAATGCATAAGAAGTAGTAAAATCTAATTTGCTATGTAAGTATTGGTTGCTCATTTTAATGAAAAAATTAATATAAGTAACAAGTTGTGAAGAGCTATGATTCCACACATCCTGAAAGGTCATGGCACATGTAAAAAAAAGTCTCTTACCTCATATTCCATATTTATATCAGTAATCTACAAGTTTAAATTCAAAACAACTGCATAAAGAACATGGTCAGTATTGGCTTATTTTATTAGAAAGGTTATATACCAAAAAACAATAGATTACATGATATAGCTCTCATTCAACTCTAGTTAAGAAAATTTTTTTGGTAAATTCCCCAAAATATAAATAGAGTTCATTTCAAGCAGTGTATTATATTTGCATGCATAAAGTTGTATATTTGTTAATTTTATTTTTTCATTACAAGGACAATATGAAGTGGAATTAACACTTTGAATGAAAATTACCAAGTTTTATAAAGTGACTAGCAGATAATATTAACTGTATTGCTTCATTGTATTAATAAAAAACTGTATGTTGTTTCTATTATATGTAACTGTACTGTTAACTTTGAATTGTGTTGATAAAATGGAGAAAATCAAACAAACTGTACTTTTCCTAATGAAACAATGGTTTAACTCGTTACATAAAACAGGTTAAACTATCCCTCTGCTACAATTAATAAAGCTAAAAATTCAGCTTATGAATCTGAAACTGAGAAATGATTCTCAGCTCTCTGCATCTGGCATTTGTCCAAAATGAAAACCTGATTATACCAAAAATATGATGTTGGTTCAATTGGTAGAAGCATGAGGATCAGCAGGTCACTGGGTGTATGGCAACACCTTTAGCTTACAAATATAAAAAAAAATCAATTAAGGTAGTGGTGGCTAGGAAACCAGATGATAAGTTCCATAGTCTCTATTGGTCCATATTGATTCTCCAGGAAAACAAATTATTATTTTCAGCAGTGCTTATTGTGGTGTCTGCAAAACAACCTTTTTCTCTTTGTAGCTCAACACATACAAGCAGCATCCATTCCCCTTATTAGTAGACAGATATCAACTGATAATAAAAGACTAGAAGCCAGGACATTATCCTAGAAAACATGAAAAAAAGGGATAAAAGAATAATGGCCAATGACTATGAAAGATGATAAATCACATAGGATTGGTACTTTTTATTATTTTAGACCATTACTGCTTTCTGTGCATTTTTTAAAATCCTTTCAAGTTATTTTTTACTTTATTGTTTTCTTTAATTTATTCTTGGATTGTGTAGCCTGTGTTTTGCTAAAACTGATTAGAGACACAAAGAAAAGTGAAGCTGGCCATTAACATCTTCTACTTGGTTATCAGATCAAAGATTTGAAGGGAAAAACTTGTCTAAGATTTATCTCATGCTTGCAAAGTTAACTAGCATTGGCCAAGTTAAAATAACTTCTAAGGTTATACTTAACATTTGTTGGTTGATTTTATTTTATTGAATTTGTAGTTAGCGTCTTAGTTAACAAACGATGAAATGGGGAAGCAATAAGTAAAATAAAACATATCAAAACTTGAATTTCTACTAGTGCAATGAAAAGTTTCTTTTCCTTTCTTAGTAATGCTGATCAGAGTAGTCTGTTTTTGTTTTGTTTTCTTCTTCCAATACAATATTTAAGAAAGGTGTGTTCATTCAAATCCTAATTCATTTAATATAAGGTAGTTTGAAGTTCAATTACAAAATCTTAAAACAAAAAAATAGTCCTTTTATTTTTAAATAAAATTAGTGTTTTCAGAGTAGAAATTATTCTACCCATAATTTTATTTTTCTGATCCATTTTGCCCCTGTTTTTTCTTAATGTCAGACTATTTTCTAAATCTTCTTGTTCCATATTCTTTTAGACATGATTTTTCTAGGATATTAAATATAAATATACATCAATTATGCCTGAAACATCCTCTGATATTAACTAGCATGTGTGGAAAGGCTGTGGCTGTGCAGGTGAGCATATTGGTTTTGCACACATGCTTCTTGAATGATCAGGAGATCACAAGGACAAATTAGCAGCCAAAACAAATGTCATGTGATTTGTACAGTGGAATAAAACAGCTGTCATTTGTGAAGAATGTGAAATAGTTACAGCAACTATCTTAAGATTATTCCACTGGTGAAAAAAGATATATAAGCTAAAAATGAGTTCAAATCTGGATAGATATGTGAATGCAAAGGTCATAACAAATGAAAAACAGATTGAATTAATAGTAAATTTTTCCTTTCTAGCACTTATAACTGTTTGAGGAATTACTAAGTGCTCTGATTAAAAAGAAACATGTTTGGAAAAGTGAAATAGTGAGGAAGAAGATTCCTGCTATCAACTTCTTCTGTTCATTGCCGTTTTCTAAAAATCTGCTAATATGTTGTACATCTTTTGCAATTTGTGTGAAAACTTAATTGTGGAGTATATTTAATGTATTTGCTCAGAGTAGGTTCTGTTGCTACTGGCACTAATGATTTCAAACAAATTTAATTTCAATCCACAGTGTGTGTGTGTTTCATTCTATCAATTTAGCCCATAACAATCTATTCCAAAACAATGGATATAATTAATCATTCTATAAAAATAAACAAAAAAAACCCCTCTAATCCTAATGTAAAAAAGGCAAGGAATAGTTTTTGTGTGTGTTTGTGTAAACATATGTGTTTGTGTGTGTGTGTGTATATATATATATATATATATATATATATATATATGCATGTGTGTGAATATATATGTATGCATGTGTGTGAATATATATGTATGCATGTGTGTGAATATATATGTATGCATGTGATATATATATATATATATATATATATATATATATATATATATATATATATATATATATATGTATGTATGTGCTTTATATAATATATGTGTATGTCTGTGTATGGACATGTGGCCGAGTAGTTAGAACGTTCGCATTCTGACCATCAGACCTGGGTTCGAATCTCACCATGGTCAACTTCTCAGAAAGGAGACTTCCTGATGTTATCACACTGATGGGGTCAATCCCAGCATGTGCCACCTTTGGAAAGTGCCTGAAAACTATACCATGAGTTGACTCAAGTCTTGTGATCGAAATTGGGTAGATGGTACCTCTGAGGGCTGTCAATAGCTGAGCTAGCACAAAGTCACAAGTCATCGTGACTAAGGGTTTGTGTGCTGGCCTTGTTCAAATTGTTGATCACACTCTTTCCCAGAAACTGTAACTAAGGTCTGCTCAGCATAGTTGCAGTATAAACCACAGGTGGGCTCTGTGGGTGTTGAACAAACAGAAATGTGCCTGAGCAAGTTTTTTCAATAGGGATTGGCTAGTCACCTTAGTAGATGGGTATTCTCAAATATGAGTGGCCAGCTATACAGGTTTGTATGTATGTATGCATGCATGCACACACACACATATATATATATATATATATATATATATATATATATATATATAGATAATATTAGTGGAAAATATACATACATATGCAAAATATATATAAAAAATTCCCATACATGTATATTTTCAGAAAAAAATTTTCCAAGAGGAAGGATCCAGGTAGAACTCAATGTCTAGGACAGAGTAAGGATATAATAAAAAGGCTTAAACACTTAAGTGTTTAAGCCTTTTTATTATATATATATATATATAGAGAGAGAGAAAGTGTTCATTATGATGACATAATAATAAGCGATATATATATAAAAACACAACACATTTCCATGCCTGAAAATATAAACAGAAGGAAAGAAAAAAAGAAATGCAAGATATTGTCGAACTTCAAATGGAACAATAACATTGAGCATATTATGCCGAACAAAATATTGACAGCAGGTAAAGGACCTTAAAAGTCAGTTGCATCCTTGAGGTACACAAACCACTTCTACAGATTTGATAACATTTATTAAGAAGTAGTGGGAGCTATTGAAAAAGGGATTATGTATCATGGTGAATTAGCAAGGAGGCTTACATCTGTTATAGGCTGTTGAATTGAATTAAAAAGTCAAAGAAAGCAATCCATCCTGCTTCTGTGGTGAAGATTGCAAAAGTATTTTGATAATGGCATATCAATTTAAATTTGAAATGTCTTGAAAAGAAAAAATTAAATAAAAAATGAAATTATAAGAAATTTCCTAGAATAATATCAGTAACAATTCTATGCATTTTATTATTAATTTTTATATATATCAGTATTTTGTGTTTAAATATCA